GTCAACTTTCGAAGATCAACTTGTGTCTTTCTTGGACTATGTTTTCAGTTTATCCAGTATTGGAGATAATGCGTGAGTATTTTGCAGCCTAATAATTTAGCAATTTATGAAAGCTAGAATATTTTAAATAATTTGCTTATTTACTGTGCACTGAATGAAAGAGAATAGAAATTTAGAATGCGTGTGCTCAGCCTAATAGAAACTCTCATAGGACACGAATCATCTATTAAAAAGAATGAACACTCATGCTACTTTGCCCAAAATATTTNAAATATTTTCTAAATCAGAGCAGTAACGTTTGAACTACTGCAAATTTTATAGCGACACTCAAGGTCGCGCACATTCAAATGGTGATAGAAATGAACCAAGAACGTAGATGTTGGAGATAAAGTCAGGAATAAATACACTGTACCCGTAACCATCTACATATAAGTATGCTATTGCAAGTTGAAATGGGTTTTCAAAATGAGGGTGATGTTGCAGGAGTTTGGTCAACACCTGTACTTGTGCGCATGATCAAATATACAATCATATAAAATTACCTGTACTGACGTTGTACATATGATTATTTTGAACATATGATCATGCCTTGTGCATGATTCACGGGTTTCGTGAAATATACATTATTATTATTATTCTGATGCCCGACAGACCGTTCATTATTTTGAACGTTTCAATTGAGTAACCCCTCATGCATCTGTGTCGAAGGGAAAACAAATTCAAGTCCTTAAGTCTGTCCTCGTAATGCTTGTGGTTCTGACCACATAACATTCCGGTGGCTAGCCGTTGGACTCTTTCCAGGCAATCTAGGTCCTTCTGTAAGTATAGTGCCCATGCTTGGACACAATACTCCAGATGTAGCCAAACCATAGCCTTATACAGCGGGACCAGAACCTACGGGTCTCTGTAGGACATCGAAGTCCTTATCCTAAAGAGTTCGCCTCTACTCTTATTGGCTGGAACTATGCACTGCCTGGAGGGCTTAAAGTCACTAGAGACCATCACACCTAGGTCCTTGGAACGCGTTACTTCCATCAGCTGCCCCATCTGGTCAGGGATGTCGGCCCTTTTTGCCCCTAGCCGTTGACATTTAGCTAGGTTTATCGGCAGGTCCCACTTATGTGACCAGGATAGTATAGCTTCAATGTCTTCATCCAGGTCTGCGCCGGCCATCTTCACATCGTCAGCAAACAGATAGCAGGGGTTCCGCAGCCCCGACGGTAGGCCGTTTATGAAGATGAGGAAGAGTAACGGGTCCAGTACAGACCCCTGTGGTACGCCACTGATCACATCTGCTGGATCTGGAGTGCACGTGCCAAATCTCACTCAGAAGGTCCTCCCCCAGAGAAAGTTATTCACCCAGGTCCCGGCCCTCCCTGGAATGCCTACTGTTTGCATCTTGTGGTCCAAGTATCCATGGTTGACTGAGTCGAAAGCCTTACTGAATATCATGTAACAAACTTCCACAGTATGGCGTTCGTCGAGTCTCCTGGTCACATCGTCTAGGAATAGCAGCAAATTTGTCAGACAAGACTTGCCTATCACAACTCCATGCTGCGCAGGTGTTATGATGTTGTGTACCACGAGATGCTCACATAATTGTCGGCTCACGATTCGTTCTAGGAATTTGCATAGGACTGGCTGGCCTAGGATCACACTTTTATATACTCACCACTGTTGCCGTCTTCCATTCTTCAGAAAGGTTTCCTCCCTGAGTGAGGCCGCGTAAAGCAACATCACCGGTTGAGCTAGAATTTCGGCCAGCAGCTTTGTATTTACACAGGGTATGTAGCTCTTCCCTGATAATTTCCTCGTTCAGCTACAGCTCAAATAAACCCGGCAAGTTGTAGTCTCTCACCCAGTTCGGGTCATTTTGGGTCTCGAGTGGTAGGCGATATATCCCTTGGTATGCTTCCAGGAGTGCCCTGGCCTTTTCCCGATCTGTCGGCGCCAGTTGGCCATCCAGACCTTCTAGGGCAGCCGCAGTTTCTCTCGTTCTCTTTTTAGATTGTAAGCAGACATAGAATCCCTTTGAATTCGTCTTTGCAGATCTAGCTCACCTACGCTCGGAACGGAACTTCTCTTGCCTTTGAAGAGCTTCGGCTTTATTACAGGCCTGTTTGTAGATGTCATATGCCTGGCTGGTGCGGTACGTAACGTACGCTGCCCATATTTTCCTCCGGGTGTCTACTGCCCTCTTCACTCTTAGCCGCCATCAAGGAGGCTGCCGTCGTTCTCTGAATGACCTAAGCGGTACGAACCCCGCTGTTAGCCTCAGCAGTCCGTTTTTGACTGCTTTCCCTCGTTTCTCTAGGGTAGGGTCAGGGTAGTTTGGCATCCAGGACATTGTTGCCGCAGACCTTTGCATTTCTTCCATCCGTAGCTTGCCATAACATCTAATGGAGGCGACTGGGGATAATAATTTGTGTATGGAAAGTAGAGCCTTCATTGCTCAGAGGTACCTCCACTCTTAATTCACTAATATTCTTTTGGCACTTTTTGATCAATAGATCTAGTGGTGAAAGCGATTGACCCCCTCGGTTTCTCGTAACATGTTGAAGCAGTCCGTGTAGTTGCACCCATTGTAGGAAGGCTTGATCCGTGGATCCTCTGGGCGCGCTTCCAGCCTCCCAGTTGATGGCTGGAAAGTTAGTCACCCAGAATAACGAACTCTTTAGTTCTAACGGGCACTGTTTGCAGTACTCTCAGTAGGTTGTCACTCTCCTGCCCACTGGCGAGGGGGCTCGGTAGACACATACATTACACACTATTTCTTCTCAAAATTTACGAAACAGGACGTGACATGAATGTTGTTAGAATCCGTTTCAAACGGGACCTCCCAAATTCCCTGATTTTGATGTACGAGACTGGCAGCTCGCCCCCTAATCTTCCATCCGTCCTGTCCTGTAGGTTATGTAACTCCCATTCTGCGTATTCACACTATTATTGCTCCACCAGGTTCCGGTGATGGAAGCTACTGCACACCCTATTACTCTGCAGGGTCTTGATCAATGGTCTCAGGGGCTTCGATCAGCAATGGAGTGATTTGGGTTATTTGCGTTATTTAGGCGTAGAACGCTTTGATGTGGGACTGACTACACGCTAAGCACCCAACCTTAAAACACCTTGTAGGTGGGATTGGAGCTGCGTTCCTCAACCTGGTCCGGAATGCGAACGCATTTAGTCAAAGCGGTGGATATAGCCGCACCCGACAACGATTGCCCGAGCCAAATTGTCCATTGTGGGTGTAGACCCCAAGCCTTCTTCAGGCCCAAACCAACCGGATCTGGAACAGGAAGGCGAACATCGGCAGTCTGGGGTGCAACCCAGCTGAGAAGGGAGTGGGGAGAGAAATAGCAAGAAGTAAACGACAAAATCTAATCGGGATGGGTGCTTAGGTTATAATACTGATAAAAGGATGTTATCAAAATATGTCTAGTTCTACAGATCCAAATGGAGGTGGATACGTGTATTGGTAGAACATTAGTTGAGAATATGGACACTGCTACCTGGTTAGCATGTGCCACGGAGGTGGGCCAGTTCAGTCAGACGATAACGGGAGCAGGTGGATGTGAATACATCATCAGCAAACACGAAACACGGATTTTGAAGATCCTGTGCTAGGTCGTTGATGAGTATGAGAAAAAGTAAGGGGCCTAGCACCAAGCCCTGTGGAATCCCACTTGTAACTATCTCATGGTTAGAAATGTAGTCATCCACCTTGACCCAGAAGGTGCGATTACCCAAAAGGGCTACAATCCAGTCCCTGGCTCTATCTGTTGAAGTCTTGAAGTAATACACGGGTGCTAGACTAGTCCCAGTTCTCCCGGATCTTAGTAATTTTCAAGGTTTCTTTTGGTCCTGTGTCCCGGTAAACCGGATACGGACAAGGCTTCACTGCGGCGAATGTTGGATAAATAGGGTGAGTCCGCGTTCTTTTTTTACAAGAAGTTTACCTGAAATGAGGTTAGTGGAGGGGAGGGGTGCAGTATTTTCATGTGGTGCGACAAATCGGAAAGTTTAGGGAAAATGCGGAACATGAATAGCACCATCGGACGGGGAGATGTTCACCGTTTAGGGATTAAACCAAGATACATGTCTAGATTCCTTTTGAATACTGATCTTGTGTGGGCATTGACTACTTCTTGGGGGAGGCTATTCCAAAGAGGAATATCCCTGTGAATGAAAGAGCACTGACGGACTAGTGCACGGGCACTCGGTTTTAAGAGCTTCATGCTATGACCACGAAGTTTATCCATACTGTTGCGTACAAAGAAGTGATCGACCCTACCGGAATTGTAGGGATTGTGCAATAGGAAAATGTCACCTCTAATCCGGCGGGCTTTGAGGGGGTACAGGTTCAAGATGGAGAGGCGTGTAGAGTGAAGGGTGGAGGACAAGCAATGCACAAGTTTTGTCACTCTCCGTTATACACGATTAAGGGCCGTACAGTTGCTCACCAAGCGGGAGTGAGCAATTCGACTCCCGCATTCCAATGAAGGTCGAATGTACGTGCCACAGGGAACCTTGAAGTCATCTCTATCTATTCTGGGAATGATCGTTTTAGGAAGTTAAGAGTACGGAAGGCGGATCTACTAGCTTTTTGTTGGTGGTAGCAGAACGAGAGTGACCTGGTCAGCCAGAAACCAAGAACACATTACACTAAACTACACGCTCCGTAGTCGTGAAATCGTTAGCCCTGAAACTGTGTCCAGGGACCCTCTTAAACGACATACTGACGCATTTGTCGTCATTTATTGGAAGGTTACAGGTCGTAGACCAGTTTTTGACTGAATCGATTGCTGACTGAACAGCCTTAAAATTGGTGCCTCAAATTGTCACGTCATCGGCGTACATTGCGACGTTGACTGGGATCCTCTGTGGCAGGTCATGGGCGGTGGTGGCCTGGTGGTACCGTCACCAATTATCACCCACCACCATCGCCTGACTTTCCCCATTTGTGTATTGTATGGCAGCTCTTTGATTGGCCGCCTCCCCCTTTTTGAAAAATTGTCTTTGTGCATTCAATAAAAGGAAGTAAAAAGCAAAGTAAAGAGAAAAATATACATAAGGAAGAGGAGAGGCCAAGGACTCCGGTAGAAATGGAAGAATCAGATGAGAGCGATGAGCTTACGCGGACCGAAAGGGTGCAGTTTGTGAGAAAATCGCGAAGAAGAGCGAGTCGAGGCCATATGACTGGAGCAAAATTTGAAATTTGCATCATCATGGGCTTCAGTTAGACTGTCCATGACAGATAGCATATTGGAGAGGAAGGANGCTCTTTTTAACACCCGTTCGAAGACCTTGCTGGGAACGCCAGTCAGGCAGATGGGTCTGTAACCGCTTGGAGAGTGTTGGAACCTTTTTCTAAATTGGGGGAACATGATGCCTTTCTTCCAGAATTAAGGGAATATTGTAGTATCTGCACACTTTTGTAGGAGGGTGGAATAGTACGGGGCAATAACCGAGGCGGCTTCTCTCAACACGCGAGGATGTGTACCATCTGGTCCCATCGAACTAAAGGGATTCAGAGATTTGAGGAGTAAATCGGACTTCCCTGGAAGAATGATAAAATGTTCAAATGGGGGTGGTGTATTAAGAGGGAGAAGATTGCGGTGGGAAGAGATAGGAGGAAAGTTAAAGGCGTATTCATAATGAGACCGGAAGATTTCAGCTACCTGAGCAGAGGAGGTAACAGGGAGCCGTTAAGTAGCTTGAGGGCTAGTGCAGAATGGTTTGATTGCCTTTTGCAGAGGAGTGACTTAAATAAAGAATGAGGATTAGTTCTAGCACGAAGAAGAATTGCTTTCTGTTGTCTATTGTGGAATTCCCTAACTCTGCTTGCACAACTTGCGGATTCGCTTAAACTGGACAGCATCAGTATCGAGCCAAGTACATTTTAGTCCAGCAAATTCACGCACCCGCTTGTCCACTAGGTGCCGAATGGAGAGGGGTAAGGGAGACCTATTGTCGGATACAGCTTGAAGTCTAAGAATAAACAAGTGGTCTGCTTCGTGAATTAGACTCTCGAGCAACTCATTTAGGTGGTTCGGGTCACTATCAATATTACAGGAGCCCAGCCTGTTGGTCAGGAATTCTCGTAAAAGAACAAAATCGACCCTTTTGAAGGAACGTAACATTCAAGAAGAGAGCCTGCAAGTTGGCCAACGGATAATATAGTCAAAGGATAGCACGAGGTGATCACTTTGACCAACAGAACTTAGGTACGAGATCATGTCGATCTGGAATACAGTGTGCAGGCCAGGGTACCGTATTACAGGAGGGATGTAACGTGCTTAGAGCGAGTACAACGCCTAGCCACCCGAATGGTGACTAGGCAAAAGGGGAAGGGCTATGAGCAGCGGTTACGAGATCTAAACCTCTTTTCGCTGGAGAGTAGATGAATGAGGGAGATATGATAGAGACTTTTAAAATTGTAAGAGGTCTATCGGGACTGAACCTAGATGACCTGTTTACGATTTCTCGTGCTCAAAACACGAGAGGTCATAACTATAAACTTCAACAGAACCACGCCAGGCTGGAAGTACGGGCCAACTTCTTCGCACACAGGGTCATACCTAGGTTACCTGTAGAAGTGGTCAACTGCACCAATGTAAACACCTTCAAGGTGGCACTGGACGCTTGTTGGTCAGCAACGTTCCCCGAAGTTAGTACTTAGACTGGGAGCATTAAAGTAAATTCTACTTAGCCAGAAGTTGTGATATGATATGAACGTGGGTTTGAGTGTTGAAATTATTCTAAAATCCTGATTATCTTGTCACACGTAAGCTGTATACTAGCGCAAGTGTACTTGAGGTCTCTAACCAATGAGGCGAGGAGATATCCTTGCTTGTTTTCCTCCCTTCCAGCATAACCCCAAGGAGACAACGTTCTGAACACGGGGTTGAAGTATGAGGATCACAAATACCCAATCAACTGTACGCAGTGTTGGAAGCTACTGCCATCCGCCGATAACACAACGAACTGAACGCTCGATTGGCAAGAGCCACATTCGTCCTGTGCAACTGAACTGAACTGGCGTCCTCCGTTGGTAACCGCAAGATCAAGCAAGGAGGGACGTTGGCCGACACGGTATCTCGTGGAAGATACTACCTGTTGATAGCACGAGTGTTCAGGGAAGAGGTTTATAAGGGGTACACCAAACCTATCTCTAGAGTGGCATCTGGGCCAGTCGATACTCTAAGCGCTAAAGTCATCCAGGATAAGGTGTGAGGAAGTGCAGGTGGGACGGAGGTCACGAAGCTGAGATAGAGGTGATTGACATTCCTCCCTTGTGCTTGACGGGGAGCGATGAATAACCCCCAAAAGGTGTGAGTTCTTACTCGGTGTACGTCAACCAATTCGCACTCGAGTGACGCGTAGCCGAACCGATACGAATCCC